AGTCGATCTAGCTATGTATGTCCGTCCGTCCGTCTGTCCATGTTAATTTGTAATCACGCTACATGTCGCAATTATGGCCCGATCCTTACGAAATTTTGCACGAAGGTGGGGTTAGGGTCAGAATAGAAGCCTATTTCTTTTGGAGATGATCGCCAAATGTTTAGGGGTTGAAATGGACCAAATACTGAAAAAATGTCGGATTTTGCAGTAGCTATACAGGTCGCAATTATAGACCAATCGACGTGGAATATCGCATGTAGCTAGAGTTTAGGGCGGGGAAGAAGCCTACCAATTTGGGTGGTCATTGTATAATATTTAGCGGGTAAAATAGACCATATCTTTTGTGTTGAAAAAATTCAAAATTTTTCATTAAACCGCGAATACTTTAAATTCCGGCGAAATCACAAAGCTATGACAAGTTTACTTCTGATCTTTACATTGATGTTAACATCCAACAAATCGGATATATAGTAAAATATGTGCGATATATATGTCTATCAAAGAAGATATGCTTGAAAGATCTCTTATATGTCGAGAACAGCTGAACTGATTTCGACAGTTCTTATTAATTCAATGGCCTCTTGGCAGGAAAGAAAAAACGTCTAAAAAATTGCATAAAAATATCTCTCTAAAGATGAAAATATTGATTTTGTAATATTTTCTCATATTTTTTCAATTTTGTCATATTTTTGGCATATTTCTACAGCTAACAAAACTAAGTAGTTTGGATATCAGGATATCATTTACAGATCGCATTTATGACCCGATCCTTATGAAATTTTGCATGGGAATAAGGTGAGGGTCACAATAAAAGCCTACTCTTTTTGGAGATAATCGCCATATATTTAGGGGTTGAAATGGACAAAAAAAAACTGCAAAATTGTCAGCAAGTCGTAATTATCGCCCGATTCTCACGCGCATTTGAATGGACTTTACCGGACATTGCAAAAGCCAAATAGTTTTGGATGGCCATCCAAAAATATTCAATGTGTGAAATAGTTTGCCAACTTTTGTGGACAAATTACGAAAATATCCATTCCAGTGTCTTTTTGGAGAATTCACAAATACAGGAAAGACGCACTTCTGACTATTTCGTTAAGGCTGATTTCGTTGAAGAATATAGTCAAATGTCTGTATCTCATATAGATGCGTTTTAGTCAAAAACCAATAATAAATGTTAATCTTTTGCCACTTCTGAGAGATTATATGTCTTTGGGAAATATTGGGAAATACATCTACCAATAAATTGGAAATGAGCAAATTAGTTTTAGTTGCTATTATTCGAAAATTAGAGAACGAAACCTGATGGTTTTCTTTTATTATTTGTCACAATATCTTGTGGAATTCTTTCGAGTATCTCGCCTATATAAACTTTATCATTTATTATAGTGTTGTAGGGTATTCAACGGTCGGCCCCGCTCGACTGTAGCCTTTGCTTACTTGTTATTAGGAATATACTTTCAAAGAAAGTCCTTTAACGGGTATTTCATATATTATACCTTTCATATATACATATGTACTTATATAGGAAAAAGACCCGCTTTGTAATATTTGTATTTTTCTGCCTTCAAGTCCGTTAAAATCCGCGACATCCTGTCTGCTATTCAAAATACACGCATCCATTTACTTTACTGTACATACATACGTCTTTTGTTACTGGGTTACTGTTATGCTAACGACTTCCTATTTACATTCATAAAAATACAATAAAATCCACATGCCACCAGACGTCATCAATCCTCCCAACATAAAAAAAAAAAGGAAAAACACAGTGGCACGCCTGAGTTATGGCAATAAAACATACAACAGCCATCAAAACATTTTTACTCGTATCGATTTTCAATCAAAATCATTTTTTTTTTTTTTTCTAAAAAAGAATAAGCTTGAATTAAAGCCAACCTTGAAATGACCTTTGGGGAAATGTACTTGACTAGCAGTTCATTAGTACTGAAACTCTCTATGTGTGTGTTGTGTGTTGGTCGAGTGTTCCAGTTTTAATTTTCAATTTGAAAAAAAAAAAATCAGCAAAAAATATTTGTTTTTATTGACAGTGTGCCATGTATAGTAATTTATGTACATACCTAAACACAAATATACATGGTTGTCTATACGTTTTTTTTGCTGTAATTGACATGCTATAGAGAAAAATCGCAATACCAAAACTAGTGGCTAAATAATTTTCTGCTTGAGCCGGCAAAAATATTGAATATAAAAAATACACAAAAAACAACAACTATAACAAACAATACCCCCACAACAAAAACAACAATTGGCAAACAGAAATGCCGCTAAATGTTTCAACAAAAAGCGCCTATTTTGCTGTCTCCCAAAGAGAGAAGAGAGTTTTATTTACGCAAACTCTCCACGCGAGAGAAGCTGTGTGAGTAGCCCCATAACAGAAAATGTACTTCAGTTTGTTTGATAAATGAGGGGTTTGGGGAGCTGTATTGAAATAAATTGTGTGCAAAAAAGTAACGTGACGGTAAGCACGATTGCTGGGGGAAGTATTCCCCCACACACACAATGTGAAAAATATTGAAGTAAACTTTTTAATAATATTTAATATATGATCTGTTTCAGAACTGCAAGAATGTAAAAGTTTTTACTACGATAACCGATTTTCCCTTCCTGATATCGAAAAAAATCCAAAATTAGTAGATTCTTATAGCTTCTGCAACAGAGCAAAAGTTATTCATATTTTCTCTAGAAAAAATTTTTCGATTTTTCATCAAAAATAATCATGAGTGATGAGGCTCATTTCCATTTTAGTGTGTACGTAAATAAGCAAAATTAACGCTTCTGAGGCACTGAAAATCCGCGTGTAGCCATTACACTAGCTCAAAGTCACCGTATAAAGTGATGTTTTCGCTGGAGGAGAAGTCATCGGATCTTACTGTGAATGGTGATCGCTATAAAACAATGATCAACGACTTCTTTTTGCCGCAGCCTGATGAGTTGGGATTGGAAAACATGCGGCTCTAATAGGACGGTGCAACGGCAAACACTGCACGTGCCACAATCGATATGTTGAAGAATGCATTTTCCGGGAGCCTAATCTCCCGTTTTGGCGATTTGCACTGGCCAGCAAGATCGCCTGATTTGACCGCTCCAGACTTCTTTTTGGCGGGGCTTTTTGAAGTCGCGGGTTTATGTCAAAAAAGCCTCGGACTCTTTCAGCTCTTATAGACAATATCCGTCAAGAATGGGCTCAAATGACAATAAACTGAGGCGACGGCCATTTACATGACATCATATTCTCGACTTGATGTAAAAATAACTAAAAGACCAAATAAAAATAATTCACAAGAAAAATTCAAGTTTTTCATTTTTTTTAATTACAGCCAAAAAAACATCGCAAGTTTACTTTTGCGCCACCTTGTAGTTATATTATCGTAGATAATTTATCTATATTATCATAGATAATTTTCAAATTTATAATACCGTTATTTTGACGACGAAAATTTTGGCCAAAAGGCTGACGACATAAACCGGTGCGGAACAAATGTCTACAAAGGGGAGACATTAAAGGGAAATATTTTTTAAAGTTCTTTTACTGAGAGTTCGCATATTATTGTCGGACAAGTTGATTCTTGCATCTTCCATCCTATGAAATATATTTTTGGAATTCGACAGAGTAATAGTTATATATTTTAGAAAGAAAGTTGCAAATTGGGAATGTCTTTTTTAGGGTTTTGTTCAGACAAAATTCGTGAAATAAAAGGTTTTAATTTGACATTTCTTTACTTTATAAAAAATTTTCAAATACTATTTTCAAATACTCATAAAACTTGAATAGAGTTTCTGAATTTTTTTGCAGATTACTTTTTTTATTTATTTATATGAAATTTATATATGAATATACTTTTTGACAATGGTATATTTTTGAAAACATATGACTACACAAGATTGCCTTCTTAATTCTACCATGGGTAGAACAAAACAAACTATTTAATTTTAGTTTGTTCCTCCTCCACATTTTACTGAATTTTAATGTCTTTAAATTACATAACAAGTCATTAATCCCAATTTCGTTACAACCATAACCTAGGATTTGCTACACAAAATAATGGCATACATTCCCCAATTATTTACTTTTTAACAGGGGATTCCATTGAGCATAAAAGTGCGTGAGTGAATTTCAGAGAGTAATTCCAACATATGCAGAGAACATCTAAGTAACTACTCTCCAGTGAGATTTGCTGATTTTCTTTTCTCTGCATATTCCCAGTCATCAAAGTATATGTGTAACATTTTTGTACATTCATTTCTACATACCCACAAACGAACATCCAACTAGATATTTATAACATTTTCTCCCCAAATCAATCGTGGTACAAAAACCGCTATGTACTCTCATCGCACTCTGTAATGGGAGGGACAGACCGCTCTGTATACTAACATTGCCATGTAAGAGTAGATATTTATACGATATTTGTATGTAATCCATCAAAGTTACACGGCCTGACAGGCAGGCAGACATGCATGGAGAAAAGCACACATACATATCTTGTACATACATCCAAGTGTACATGAATACTTATCTTCGTAGGGGAAGAAATATAATGGCAAGAATTTATCGATTTTTATGTTATTTCTTTGCATCTGTTACGACAAGGGACAATGTCTGTTCTTTGGTGGAGCACTATCTGTATTTATGACTACCCCCTCCCTCCCAATGTTTGTATCCTGACATATGTAGGTGTATACATTTTTAAGTATTTGATTAATAAATAAAACAATATTTTTAATAACACAATACTTCACTAAATATTACAACAGTAAAACACCAACAACATGTATGTAGGTATTCGAGAATATTCTCTGCAATGACTTGCAGAGACAAGAACTCTTTTTTGTCTTGCTTTTTTGTCAATTGAAAATTCTGTACACCATTAAGGAATAGAAGAACAAGACATTTTGAAATAAACTTTTCGACATTTTATCACATGAAATTTGGTTATATTAACATAAATATGAATAAAAAAAATTCGCATATTTACTTTTTCAACTGGCTTCTATTTTTTCACTTTCAAACCAAAGCAGTTTTTTTACACAAAAATCTTGAAGATTTTTTTGCAAAAGTTTTGTGCAATGGCCGTCTGCGATTTTTTCTTTTAACAAAAACAATTTCAACAATTAGATTTCCAACTAAATTTTTACTTCTTTTTTTTAGAAAACAGAAGATTTCTTGACTCTTTTTTCTCGGATTGCTTAACACCAAACACTTTGCTGTTGAGGATTTCTTTGATTTCTTCTTGGCTGCTTAGCTAGACTTGGTTGTATTTTAAAGCTTTAAACTTGGAAACGTTTGAAACGACTGATTCCTTCAGAAGACCGCACAAAACTGAGCAACACCAGCAAAAGTTCAGCAGTGGAGCAACGAAAAGAATTCGCAGTAGAGTAGTTCTTCATATGGAAGAATAATGAAACAACAACAACAAATAACTGCACTAAACACAGAGTCAGCCCGACCATACTGCGCAAATACCACCTTTTTTCCAACAGCTATTCTCGCTCTTTCTCTTCATCTTCACATATCTTCCGGTGTGTGTATTCTTATTCTAGCTTTGAGTTTGTTGTTTTTGCTTTGCTTTCCTGTCGGCAAAGAGACATGAGTGGTGTTGAGTGTGTGTGTTTGCCTGCGATGGAGCCATGCAAGGAGCATATTTGTTTGTTTTTTTGTCCCACAATTTTTCCCACTGTTAACTTGACATTAAAAATATATTCACATATACAGTGGTCTCAAACACACATACAAAAGTACTAAAAATAAATTACAATTGGGGTACGGTGTTCAATCACAAACTCTGGCCCTTTTTTCCTTTACCATGAGGAAAGCTTGAAGTCCTTAAATTTTGTTAAATCAAACGGAACTTGTGATGTGGTCACGCTTTTATGAGCCATGGTATTGCCAGGTGTAATTTGCTTAGACAAATTGATTGTGTGTAGCATACCTTAAGGATCACTTTCTCCTTGAATGAAGTGAATGTCTTCAGTTTTCCTCATGTCTCATTCGTAAACAACAGAGTACCCCGGGATTTTGCTTTCTGTTTATTTTATAGCAAGTATTCCTTTTTGGCCTTCATATTCGTTTCGTTGGGGATGTCTTTCATTTTGTTTCCCACGCGCGCATTCGCTTTGTTTTGCAACAACACAACGGGACAAAGGTGCTCACGCTTTACAAACACAACTCAACCACAATAACAACCAACTTATCTCACCTTAAGAAGGACATTGTTTTTAGGGGTATTAGGCACATTATTTGAACTGGAATTTGAAAAAAAAAAAAAACAATAAGTGAAGTATTGCGTTTACATGGCACATGATTCGCTCTTTATTCGTTGTTCGACCTTGATTCCCCACACAAAAGGAAATAAAGGAATTATGGTACAATGAATAACAAATCGTTCCGTATGAACCTAATTTTAAGAGTGAACAACGCATGGTAGAATAATATAGGTAGGAGCACAGACACAGCTGCTGGGCAATGAACTGTCAAACCTATTTTGAAATTGAAAATTTTGAATGAAAAATGATTTAAATTTGTAAAAATTGTTGAAAAACGCTTATTATAATAACCTTCGAAGGACGTCATATAAGAAAACTTAAAAAATCAATTTATTTTTGAAGAAACATTTAAAAATTTTTGACATATCAACGTTGTCAACTGTTGATGCATCTACCTGTATTTTTCTACCATGGAACAACGTGATTGAAATTGCAATGAGAACATAGCATAAGTCGGACAATCGACTATGAATAGTCGAGTATTCGGCTTTCACACAAGTCCATAGTCGAGTTCGAGTTTTAGAACTTTGAGTATTCAAAGTTGATTATTCGATTAATCCCAAGTATTTCTAAGTATCCCAAGTATTTCTAAGCAACCGATACCATAAAGAAAAAACAGGTTATCGAGGTAACATTTTTAAATTCTTGCAGATTCTAAAAAACCATTTTGTTTAATTATTCTCATCATAACAATATTAAAAAAAAAAAAATACATCAACGCATCCTTTACTGTGGATGACGGCGTCATTTCTGTGAACTAAAGAGACATAACTAGTTCATATGCTCTTTTCAATGAACCATTCAATCGGACAAGTTCGTTCGTGAACTACACAACTCTATTTTGCACGTTTCATTCAAACAAAGTATTTCTAAGCAACCGGGAACACCAAAGAAACAATTATTCCAGAAAAATCTCGACAGTAAAATTCAATAAAAAATACACATTAAAACCACATAAAAAATGGCTGGTCAAGAGGAACACTTTGATAACATTTTATTGGCCATGGCTCAAAAACATGCCGGTGGAATGCCCGATGTAAGTAGGAAAAACAAAGCTAGTTTTATGCTAACATTTGCTCTAATGATTCAACTTTTTACAGTTCCTTCGCACATTTGCCGGTTTTCTAAGACGACGCAGTGATTTTTATACAGGCGATTGGGAAAAGTTGATAATGGATATTTTACGCAAGGAAGCTGATATCGCCATGGCTGAACACAAAGAAAAAATGCGTAAGCAGGAAGAACAACGAAAACAAAAGAGGAAAAAGAACGCAAAGAGAGGGAGGCCAGGGAAAAGGAAATGTCCCAAAGTAAGATTTGTGATATCACCGATGAGGAAGCTGCCCAAATAATCAAAGAAGAGGAAGACAAGTGAGTTGCAATTTGAAGTCATTTAAAATACACAAATAATGTATCATGCTGTTTGTGGTAATTTTAAACAGGAAACGTCAAAAGCTATTGGAAGAAGCTGCCGCAGCTGCTGGTGGCACTGCTCCTGTAGTTGTCGATGAAGAAAAATCCAAACCCATTGACAAGGTTGAAGATGAAACCGAAAAATCAGAAGTTGGCAAATTATTGCCCAATGCCGGTAATGGTTGCACCTTGGATAAATATATGTGGACACAGACCCTAGGTGAAGTTGAGGTAAGTAGAAAGGTGGTTATAAATCGATACTTGTTTTGTCGTCTTTAATTTTGTCGAAGTTTTAGATTATGCAAAATATATATGTATTGATGGTCATCTAATAATTCTAATACGGCTTTTTAGCGTCCTTCTTTCGTGTGTGATCAATCCAACTTTTGGAAAAAATTGAGATAAAATGCATTGCATGAGGAGTTTAAAGCATATAGATGACATATATCGTACTGCGATATTACTAATTTTCTAAAGAAATTGAATATTTGTTGCACTCGATACAAATTTTAAGTGGATACCCAAACGCCATTTTGGGAATTAGCAATGTAGAACTCTTTTGGTGCAACATACTTGTATAACTATCGTGTGATTTTAGTTATTTTCGCCTTTTTAATTAGAGATTTTATAGAATTTTGCATTTTTTGGGTACAACAATTCTTTGTAAAGAATTATTAAAGGAGGTACTAGAACTCCTATGACAACTATTAAACGGAATTCGTAATAGATCAGACTTTGAGATTTTCGGTATAAAAATGGATACGCCATTTTACTGAATTGTGGATATGTAGGAGAATGCATCTATATCGATTATAATTGTCTATTTATCAGAAGCTTTTAGCAGTAATATAAATTTGGAAGCTTTTTAAGTCTTATATTATAAAAAAGTTCACCAAAAGGTCTATCGACTCAAAGCTTCTCTTTGTCCTCCATTTATTCCAGAGTAATTCTGAATTTTTTACCTTAAAATTTGTCCCGTAGGTTTCCCCTCAATTGGTCTCTTATATTGCTTTCATATCGTTTAAATTTTTAAAAGAACCCGTTCCTTGCCGATATCTTTAACACAGTTCGAAAAGCCTACATATATAAAATAAATCTCGAAAGGTGGGCTCTTATTGAAATTTCTAATGTCTTACAAAAAATTATTAACATGGGTCTTCATTTTGACTGTATATATATAGCATTTTCAGATTAAATGAAACCTTTTGCAATTCAAATTAAGCTTTTTGCAGCGGGAATGAAACCTTTTGCAGTGGAATTGAAACACTTTGCAGTGGAAATGAAACCTTTTGCAGTGGAAATGAAACCTTTTGCAGCGGAAATGAAACCTTTTGCAACCGAAACGAAACCATTTGCAACCGAAATGAAACTTTTTGCAAATCAAATTAAACTTTTAAATTTATAGAAGGAAAAATAACAAAACATTTTTATTTTTAGTAGTTTTTAAATCAAATCAATTAATTATAACTAATATATTGACAAAGAGGATTTTTTATTGATTATAAATATCTACATTTATTTATATAATTTCTTAAAATTTCAATTATCGTAATAACAAATGGTTCTTTATTGATTTGATATAAAATGCTTCCATATTATTAAATTCCAAATGCTTAACGCTAAAAAGAGAAATTTAAACAAATTTTGGCCTTTATAGGTATGGGCAGGACTGAAATGTGAAATTAAGCTTTACCACAATTTTTTATAGTAATAGTATACTATTAATCTTACCTAATAAAGGATTCCCGCTTCGCAGCTTTATTGATTATGGAGATAGAGCAGTCGTGATTTCCATAGACAGATAAGTGGAAATCATTAAATCAACTATGATCATGATTGTACATACTTTATGGGGTCTACGACGAATATTTAGAGGTGTAACAAACCGAATGACAAATTTAATATATCCTCTTTTCCATGGAGGAGATTATAAAAAGGTACCTAATTCGGGTCCTTTGAAAAAAATACCTTGAAAAACTTTTTTCAATCTTTCTGCATCCACACTTGTGTTTTATGGAAACTTTAAGAAAAAAAATATAAAAACATAGTTATTAATAATCAATAAAAATTCCTCTTTAACTATATATTAGTTATAATTAGTTAATTTAATATTAAACATACTAAAAATAAAAATGTTTTGTTATTTTTCCTTCTAAAAATCTAAAAGTTGCATTTGATTTGCAAAAAGTTTCATTTCGGTTGCAAAAGGTTTCATTTCCGCTGCAAACGGTTTCATTCTCGCTGCAAAAGGTTCCATTTCCACTGCAAAAGGTTTCATTTCCACTGCAAAAAGTTTAAATTCCACTGCAAAAGGTTTCATTCCCGCTGCAAAAAGTTTCATTTGATTTGCAAAAGGTTTCATTTAATCTGAAAATGCTATATCATGGATTACCTAAAAATGTTGCCACGGACGAACATTCTTCTTTTTTGCTGTTTTTTTTGGTTGTATCATTACCTAAGACGCCACTTTTTTAATCTAATCTAACCTTGCCTTGAGTCCTGAGATTTTTTTATTTTCTTTCTTTCGTACTCACTCTAGCTAAAAATTCCATTTGCTGTATCATTTAACTTGAGAGCTCGTGATTTAGTGGTAGATATTCAAAAGAAGACCCTTAAGGTTGGTCTAAAAGGTCATGAACCAGTCATCAATGGTCAACTGTGTGCTGAAGTAAAAGTTGAAGATTCATTATGGGTATTACAGGATAGCAAAACTGTACAAATAACATTGGAAAAGGTAAGTTCTCTTGATATACAATATTTTATTATACATTTGAAATTATTTTCAATGTTTTTTTTTTATTTAAAGGTCAACAAAATGAATTGGTGGGATCGTTTGGTAATGACAGATCCACCAATTTCAACACGTAAAATAAATCCTGAACCTTCCAAGCTGTCCGATCTGGAGGGTGAAACCCGCAGTTTGGTAGAGAAAATGATGTACGATCAAAGACAAAAAGAAATGGGTTTGCCTACCAGTGATGATCAAAAGAAAATGGAAATATTGGAACAGTAAGCTGAACATAACTTTTATGTTGTTTATATGTATTTTTAATTCTCATTTTTTCAATTTTATTTAGATTCAAAAAACAACATCCTGAATTGGATTTCTCCAAATGTAAATTCAATTAAAACTTACTCTGCTGTATGCCTGTGAGAGTGTTGATACAGTAGTAGTAGTACAAATTATTGTCCTTATCTGCCCACGAGACAGCAACTGTCAAGGACTGTTTTCTCTCAAATCTGTATTTACTGACGTAGTTTTAATATTACCCCCTCCCCCACTATTTTTATTGTGCTTACTTTGATATTAACATTTCCTGTATTTATCATCTTTTCGGTCTACTGAAGACATTTTTCCTCTTTTTAATATTAGCATTTCTTTATAATAAATATTGTGTTTTTTTTTTTTGTAATTTAAATATACAATTATTTTAAATAATCATATATTTTGAAAAATATATTATGAAGATGTAAGATAAGAATGAAAAGTATGGAGTTCTTTATGGATTACTTTCAATGTCTGATGTTTCTTAACCGGCATTCAACCACAATACAATACTTTGTATTTGGACTTCCACTGATAAACCTAAATACTAAGATAGTAAGACCATTCGAACAGCCTATGAAGACTGCTGTTAGTAAATCCGATTTAAAAGTAGCCTTACTGTGAATTCGATATCAAACATATTTGATCCAAAATGTGTATATTCGCATTTATGATTGATGAAAATCAAAATTTTATTAGATACAGCTGGGGTTTAGCTCCAATATTTGATATTTAGTTGTTTTCATCAAAATTTTCAATATAATCAAGCTAAAATATCGATTTCGATGAGTGAATCAAGCACCAGAAAATCCAGCGGGAGTGGTAAAATAAAGTACTAGTAGATAAGGTGACTTCTGAAGTGTTCTCTACTTTGGAACCGATATGATAATATTGTGGATCAAGGTTAAATTGCGCTCCTGAAATAAAGGATGTAGTTATAGTCACGTTAAAAGGCATAAGGGTTACTGGTCTTTAGATGATTACTAGTTATTTTGAACCACGGTTCGTCAGTTAATTTCTAGAAACCATATTGTTCTTGAAGTCCGATCATTGGGCAGGGTTCCCCCTATTGAAGTTCGGAAAGGATGCCAGAAAAATCGAATCGTACATATTCGTGGGGGTTTACAATAGAGCAGGGAAACTTTAAATTTAGTGGAAGCTGAAGTAGTAAAATAATTTACGACCTATCGAGAATCAACGACGGTCGGACAAAACGGCTGAAGCTAGAATCTTGAAATTTTGCTCGAGGGCCAGTCTGGGCGCGTAGGCGTGTGATAAGGCTGGAAGTACTAAATCGAAAAGTACTAAATGGTACAATAGTACTTGGAAAAGTACTTGGTGTCGGCGATTGAGAGAAGCAGTTGGTTGGATATGCGTACTATGATTGTGCCAAATTATACAACATTTGTTATGAGTGAATATATAGAGCCGGAATCCTGAGATAAGATATTGAGGTCTCTGTGGGTATCTGGTGGTGATTTTGCAAATGTATATTATAATTGTTGAAATTTGGCTTGGTTGAAGTTATAGAGATAATATTCTGAAATTAGATATTTAGATAACTGTTGGTATCTGTAATTGAGATATAATGGTGGTAATAAATGATAATTTTAATAAATGATACAAAATTTGGTAATGGGGAAGTTAAAAAACTGAAATCCTGAAATTTGTTATTAATGGCACTGTTGGGGTCTGTGGTTGAGATGTGCAGATTGTTTTGAAAATGCGTTCTATATTTGTTCGAAAAGTACTAACCGGTACTAAATTGGGTATTGAATGAATGTTCAGTGATTTTATCTAAATATTTGATATTGAGGCCTCTGTTGATATTTGGAGGTTGTTTTGCAAACCGAATGTAGCCGTTATATCTATAAAATGACGTGGAACTGCATAGGCAACTTTTGTCATAAGCCATGAAAAAATCGGTAAGTAATGTCCCTGAAATATTAAAAATACCGAATATAAGGAGGTACCATTATATGGGGGCTATACCAAAATGAGGACCTGCACAGACAATTTTCTGTCATTGGCTGTAGTATCCGATACGAACTTCAAATACCAAATTTGAAATGATTCCGGTGAATAATGTCGCTTAAATCATCAAAATACCGAATATCAGGAGGTACCGTTATATGGGGCTATACGGAGATGTGGATCTGCACAGACAATTTTCTGTCATAGGCTGTAGTATCCATTACGAACTTCAAGTATCAAATTTGAAACGATTCTGGTGAATAATGTCGCTTAAATCATCAAAATACTGAATATCAGGAGGTACCACTATATGGGGGCTATACGAAGATATGGATCTGCACAGACAATTTTCTGTCATAGGCTATAGTATCCGTTACGAACTTCAAATACCAAATTTAAAACGCTTCCGGTGAAAAATGCCACTTAAATCATCCAAATACCGAATATCAGGAGATACCGTTATATGGGGGGCTATACAAAGGCGTGGACCTGCACAGACAATTTTCTGTCATAGGCTGTAGTATCCGTTACGAACTTCAAGTACCAAATTTGAAACAATTCCTGTGAATAATGTCGCTAAAATCATCAAAATACCGAATATCAGGAGGTACCGTTATATAGGGGCTATACAAAGGCGTGGACCTGCACGAACAATTTTCTGTCATAGGTTATTGTATCCATTAGGAACTTCAAATACAAAATTTGAAACATTTACGTTGAATAATGTCGCTTAAATCGCCAAAATACCGAAAATAGGGAGGTACCATTGTATGGGGGCTATACCAAAACGTGGACAAGTATATGGCCCATTATCAATATCAAAAGTCCTGCACATATAATATACATTTGAGTGTAATTTTTTCAATCTACTTCATTTCGTTCGGAAGCTAGAGAGATTTCGCAGACTGACAGAACGAATCCAAAAGTTTAAGGAGGAGTTTTCGCTGACACTTGTTTGTAAAATAAATATGTATTAGGGCCGAATATTACAGAAATAAGAATTCTTACCTGGCTGATTTTCCATATGACTAATTAAAAGAACAAAACAAGAACCATCTCGCGTTTTGGTCCCCAGCCCACTCATATTGGTACACTTGAAACGAACGTTTTTCGTCAACGACACGTGCTTTTTTACCTTCCTCCTTCTTTGTAAAACAATAAAAAAATAAATCGCAATTTTCAATTTATATGAATTATATTTATTTTATTAAACATATCACAGGGATAAACAATTATAATTCTTTAAATTTAATAATAATATTTATCAGCTTATAATTTGTTGTTTAAAATTTATTAACAAATACATGTGGGATACATATAAATTGCACAAATAGAGCATTACTTCTTGTGGTCTATACAGCAATTGACATTGCAAAATTTTGAAAAAAAGAACTAAATATTTTCTTAACTGACAATTAACAAACAAATTCGTAAAGTTCACTAAAATTTATAGCTTGTTCCTAAAAATAAAATTATAGATTTGTGAAAACATGTTGTTCGTTGTTTGAAACATTTAAAATGAAAAACTAAACTCTAAAACAAAAGGGGATTTCAGTTTTAAATAATATTAATAAAATAATAATAATTCTGACTCTTGATTTCGCATTTTGCACAAACGAATTATAAAAACATTTATAAAAAAAAGATATTTAATGATTTTATGATAGATTGTTTTTAAATGAAATGGTAACTAATATTACAACTAAAAAATTATTAAATATTTGTATACTTAAAAGCTATGTATTAATGAATGCTGCATAATGAGAGGTGTGTGTATGTGTGTGTGATCTCTTGTTGTTAGCCTTAATGTTATGAATAAATGATAATTGTTTTAATTTTATTTATTGTGATTAATAGATTTGTTTGTTTTTCCTTCTCAAAACAAAAAGATGATCACAATTCTTTGCTTGTGTAATGTTTTAATAAAATGCTTACAAAAAGAAACATTTTACGTTTCCCTTGTCTTTTGCTAAAAGGAGGGAGACATTTTGTAATCTCTTGTATACCATTGTTTTCTCTTTCTTTACTCTCCGAATTGAGAAATGTCATAGAATGCTATGAATGTGTGAGAGTTTCATTGATTTTTTTCTTTCGATAAAAATTACACATAAAATGATTGCATTACAATTAAGAAAAATAAATAACTTACAATACTAAAATAGACGAATATTCAATTAACAATTTTTGTTTTTAATTTTTTATATAAATATAAATTAATAATTGTTTTACTATCAGCTGCATAAACAGCTATAAATTGTTCTCTCTTAAGAGTTTTTTTTTTTTGATTTTTGCTCTCTTAAGAATCCACTGCCTCTCTTGAGAATTGTACTTCTTCTCTGCCATTGAACAGGAGGAGTTATTTTGAAAATGTTCTATTTGGGGGAGAGGTAAACTCTTTTATACAGCAATTTTGTGGAAATGTAGTTAACTTTGAGGCATTTCACGGGCCCGCACTGAAAAGAGAAAAGACATTGTAAATAATTTATTTAGAATTAATTAAATAGCTATATTAAAACTATGTAAATGGAAAGGAAGTCGGCAGAAGCTAATGAATAGAAGGCAAAAGGTGAGAATACAAAAGAAGATTTTTTATGGAATCGTGTGTGGTTAGGGTTTTATACAGGGTGGCCCAGGAAGACCGAAGTGCTGTTAATTCCTTATATACTTTTTAATACCCTCCACACATACATAATATGGAGAGTATATTAGGCTCGTCATTCCATTTGTAACTCATCGAAATATTATTTTTATACCTAATAAAGTATATATATTCGTGATAGGCGTAAAATTCCAATTCCCTTTCCGTCGGTCTGCTGTAATCACGCTAGAGCATCCTTGCTGAGGAACAAAGCCCTGCTTTCAGTCAACTTCTCTTCGCTTTTAGAAATCATCAACAAATCAGTGTTAAAACTTTATTTATTTCTTCATTGTTAATTATTTGCTTCGTATATACGTTGAGACCAATTTCATATTTAAAAACCAGTAAAGAAAGTCCTAAAGTCGGGCGGGGCCGATTTTATGATACCCTACAACACTTTGCTTATTTAGTTGAGCTCCACGTAATAATTAAAAGTTTTTATGAGAGAATTCAATCATACACGCTATGATTATAATTATAACCAGTAAAGAAAGTCCTAAAGTCGGGCGGGCCGACTTTATGATACCCTACACCACTTTGCTAATTTAGTAGAGCTCCGCATAACAATTAAACCTTTTAATAGGAGAATTCAATCATACACGTCATGATTATAATTATAATTTAAAGTTTAAAGGACAAAATATGCCGAAGCATTTGTATCTTTTAAATTCGGACTTGTATTGCCCATTTGGTGCACAATTAATTTGAAATCGGATAAAAATATATATGGGAGCTATATCCAAATCGGAACCGATCTCGATAAAATTTGGCAAAGATATTTCTGAGCTGTATTTGATATATTTCCCTGAATATCGTTGTTACGGAGTGCATATTACGGCTGTGAGTAACGAATATAATAAATCGGATGAACAGTATATATGGGAGCTATAGCTATATCTGAACCGATCTTCACCAAATTTGACATACTAGCTTCTAGACTCAATTCGGTCGTAAGTGCCAAGTTTCATCCCATTTGGACAAATATTAGACGTTTGGTGCACAATTAGAGTTAAATCGGACGAAGTTATATATGGGAGCTTTATCCAAATCTGAACCGATCATGATAAAATTTAGAAAATGTATTTCTGAGCTGTATTTGACATATTTCCCCAAATATTGTTGTTACATAGTGTATATTACGGCTGCGGAGGACAAAAATAACAAATCGGATGAACAATATATATGGGAGCTATAGCTATATCTGAACCGATTTCGATAAAATTTGGCATACTTATTTTCAGGTCCAATCTGATCGTACGTGCAAAATTCCATACTATTCGGACTGATATTATACGTTTGGTGCACAATAAAAAGCAAATCGGACGAAGATATATATGGGAGCTATATCTAAATTTTGACCGATTATCTCCAATTTCAATAGGGTTCGTCCTTGGGCCAAACAATTGATTTGTGCAAAATTTCATCTGGATAGGGCAATAATTGCGAACTGTACTTTGTTTACAAAAATACATGGACAGACGGACGGACGGACATGCATAAATCGACTCAGAATGTTATTCTATGCAGATCATCAAAAGGAACTATGGGTCTATCCCGTTTTCTTTTGCCTGTTACAAACAAATGCACAAAGACATAATACCCTGACCACCTTGTGGTGTAGGGTATAATTATGCAGGTCCAAATCTTCGGCCCCATGTAACGGTACCTCCCTAAATTCAGTATTTGGATGATTCTAACTACATTATTCACCGGATTTTTTTTTTTTAAACAAGCAAATGATGCCTCTTTTACGCGACATCTTTGGCAAAAGAATAATTTCGCGTAGAAGCAATTTTTATTGGCCTCCACGTTTCCTGGATTTAACCCCTCCAGACTGTTGTAGTTAAGTTTATGTTAATAAGCCTAGGACTATTGAGGAATTAAATTCCAATATTTGAGACGAAATTAACAACATAACACCTGAAGTTTTACGAAGGGTCATGGAAAATGTGTTGAAAAGTGGACATTGGCGGGATATCATTTTTAATAACAGATCTTAAAATTTTCTTTATGTAAAAAAAATATTTCTGAAATAAAAAGGAATTCACACCACTTCGATCCTTCTGGACCACCCTGTATAATTATGGACGACATATCGAGAAAAATAAAAGATATATGTCTGAACTTACTTTCCAACGCGTACACCATGCCCATTATTAGCAAGAGAAATATTGTACTCATACTAATAATTAATACCGTCACTTGGCGTCCACGATCGCACAGACCCTTTTTGGTCTTCTTATTGGCACCAGCCTCTCCATTAACCATGGTGAAATGCATTGAGCTTGCTATGGACACAGTGTCCAAATCTTTGGTTTTGATAAAATTCAAATTGGGATCAATGTCGATGGCAGTGTGTTTTCCGCCCGCCATCCCCTTGCCGGCGGCAACATTATCCGGTTGATCCACATCCGCAACATATTCGCCCGAAACAGTGGCCAACTGATACTGATGATACTGGTGGTCACCAGCTCGGCTGGTGGCATGTAACAAATTTGCACTATAAACTGAGCTGGGTGCAGCAGCAGCAGCATTTGTGTGTGTGTTGTGACGGGAATGTTGTTGTTTCTCTTGCTTGCGTTGAATTTCGGTCATGCGTTCTAAGTTTGCTGCTGTCAACAGCAAAGAACCAGATGCCGCACTCTGTAAAAACAATAGCATTTGAGACTAAGTGACATATAGATGGCGCTGGAACTTACTCTTGTACTATTATTACTATCACTACTGCCCTGGGAGGACCTCGAACCTCTCTTATTGCCAATTATGTGAGTGCCGGCAGCACTAACAGCATGTGCATGAGAAGGAGAATGGTGATGATGATGATGATATGAACTCATTTCACTATTACGTCTACTGCCACCGCCGCCTGCTTGATTACTCTTCTGATGATGTCTTTGTGCTGGGTGATCATCGTAATATTGTGGCATGGTTTGTTGTTGTTGTTGTGGCTGCCGATAGTGTGTGGGTGTCAGCTTTGATGTGTTCACCGATCTATGGCTGCGTTGGGTTGATGATGCCGATGACACAGCAGATGATGCGGAGGATGGTGAGAGTGAGGCTCGTGGTATGTGCCAGTAATCATTCATCTGGAAATGAAGAAGAAATAGAAAAAAAAACCGAGGTAAGAAATAATGTTTTTATATTTTTTGAAAAAAAAAAAGAGAATCGTGAAAAAATGTAGCTGCTTTGTTATTTTTAGATTAAAGGTATTAATGATATTAATTAGGAAAAATAATTAAAAAAAAAAATTAAAGTAAAAAATAACAAACACAACCCCCGCAAAAAGAGACACACACATTTACTTTTGCCACCGACAAACAAACCAAACGAAAATCATGGGTGTTTTTTAGTGAAAGGAACTTCTTTTATGGGATTTAAGTAGTTTGTTGTTATTGCGGCTTGTATTTTAAGCAATTCATGCTTGTAATATTATCATCGGATGTGTGTCTTTTGGTCTCCAATTTGTTTTTTTCTTTATTTAAGTACCATTTTTCTTTGATTTGTGTTTTTATTTTTGATTTTTTTTTTAGGTTTTTTTTTTTGGTCTCTTCCCATCCCAAGAAGATGTTGTTGATTTAAGACTTGCTTCTTAAGTTATTTGTTTATTCTCATTAAAGATGTTATTTTTTAATGTGTATAATTTAATTCTATTGAAGGTCTACCTCAATACAAGGGAAGGCGGATTGGAGCTACTTAATCAGTGAGCTGGTCTCTTGCTTTTTACTCGAAATCACAACTCTTTATCCGTGTACGTAATAAATACTTCGCACACACAGTTTTGAGTGCGGTTGAGGTGCTGGTAAAATTTAATAATTAAAAATAACCAGTAAAGAAAGTCCTAAAGTCGGGCGGGGCCGATTTTATGATACCCTACACCACTTTGCTAATTTAGTTGAGCTGCACATAACAAGTAAAAGTTTTTATGGGAGAATTCAATCATACACCCTTGATTATAATTATAATTTAAAATTTAAAGGACTAAATACGCCGAAGCATTTGTATCTTTTAAATTCGGACTTGTATTGCCCATTTGGTGCAAGATTAATTCTAAATCAGATAAAGATATATATGGGAGCTAAATCCAAATCTGAACCGATCTCGATAAAATTTGGCAAAGATATTTCTGAGCTGTATTTGATATATTTCCCCGAATATCGTTGTTACGCAGTACATATTACGGCTGTGGGTAACAAATACAACAAATCGGATGAACAATATATATGGGAGCTATAGCTATATCTGAACCGATCTTCACCAAATTTTGCATACTACCTTCTAGACTCAATTCGGTAGTATGTGCCAAATTCCATCCCATTTGGGCAGATATTAGACGTTTGGTGCACAATAAAAGGTAAATCGGACGAAGTTATATATGGGAGCTATATCCAAATCTGAACCGATCTCGATAAAATTTAGCAAAGGTATTTCTGAGCTGCATTTGATATATTTCCCCAAATATTGTTGTTACAGAGTGCATATTACGGCTGCGGAGGACAAAAATAACAAATCGGATGAACAATATATATGGGAGCTATAGCTATATCTGAACCGATTTCCATCAAATTTGGCATGCTTATTTTTAGGCCTAATTTGGTTGCATGTGCAAAATTCCATACTATTCGGACTGATATTACACGTTTGGTGCACAATAAAAGGCAAATCGGACGAAGATATATATGGGAGCTATATCTAAATTTTTACCGATTATCTCCAATTTCAATAGGGTTCGTCCTTGGGCCAAACAAATGTTGTTTGGAAAATTTCATCTCAATCGGATAATAAATGCGACCTGCATTTTGTTCACAAAAATACATGGACAGACGGACAGACGGACGGACGGACGGACAGACGAAATAACATGCATTTCCTTTTGCCTGTTACAAACAAATGCACAAAGACATAATACCCTGACCACCTTGTGGTGTAGGGTATAAATATTCTAAAATTTCATATGTCCCAGCTGCCATAAAATATCGCATACAATAATGTGTAAGATAATAAAGGTTATTATCGACACACACAAAAAATTTGTCTTCGTATAGCCTTCATATAACGGTACCTCCCGATATTCGGAATTCTGATAATTTTAGCCACATTAATCAGTCGAATTGTTTAAAATTTCGTATTCGAAGTTTATAGTGGGTACTACAACCTATGCCTAAGAATTTCGTGTACAGGTCCACGTCTTCGTATAGCCCCATATAACGGTGTCTCCCGATATTCGGTATTTTGATCATTTTAGCCATTTAATTCACCCGAATTATTTAAAATTTCGTATTCGAAGTTTGTAGTGGGTACTACAGCCTTAGAATAAAATTTTCCTATGAAGGTCCACGTCTTCTTATAGCACCCATATATACCGATATTCGGTGTTTGCCACGGAATTGTTGAAAAAATGGTATTTGTAGTTCATAATGGGTTCTAGCTACTGTGGCGGAAAATAGTACCGAACATAGTCCACGTTTAGAGATATCCCCCACATAATGGTAACTCCGAATATTATGCATTTTGATGATTTTTGCAACATTTTTCCACGGAATTTCTCTAAAAATTGGTATTTGTAGTTCATAATGGGATCTAGCTCCGGCGACCACATAAATAAAGGAGAAGGGTTGTTACAAAGGTCTGTTTAGGCAATTTAAATGTAAGACCAGAGGGAAATAGCCGAAGGAATTAGACTGAATAAAAAACGCATAAGGACAGGAATAAATAACAGAACATTTTTTGCTGTGACCGATAAGGATGAAGCCAATGACATTTAATTGGGCGAATCAACTGACCGAAATAAATTGATAGAAAATGATTTTAAGCCAGTTGAAGACCATGGAAGAAGAATCCGATAAGAAGATACCTAGATCTGGAAGCTATGTTGGAGCAGCAGAATATAAAACTGAAAACCATCTGGAGACAGGAGCTTTGAACGAGAATACATTTTTAGTGTGGAGGAAGTAACACTCGAAGCTAAAGAGTTTCCTAAAATTGTATTTTTTGCCTTTGTCGACCAAAAATTGGCGACTCCATTAGACAACAAGCTGTTGAAAAGATGCAAAATTTGATACTACAGTGGTTTCTATTTACCTGCATCAACATTAGCTGCGCATTGGCCTTTGCAGACCAAAAAACTTTTTTTATGCCATTTTTTTCTGAATCCCTTTATTTGAATTGTATTTAAGTGCCCAATCGATAGCTGCACATTGGACATTCCTGCCTCGAAAATTTGGTAATTTTTTTTTAATTTGGTTACAAAAGTTGTATTTATCTGCACAAGAAAATTTTTTGCAAACTCAAAAAAGACACTAAAAACTACCACTTCGTTTTTGTTTTTCTATTCGCAAAAACAATAACAACACAAGAAGAGCATGCATTAAAAACATATTCTCGCTTCCTCTCCCACACTAAAAGATGGTTATGCTGCTGCTGCTTTGTTGCGCACGAATAGAAAATTAAAGATAACTGCACTTTTTGTGCACGTAAGTAAAATTAAAGATACCTGCTTCATTGTGCAGATAAATGCAATGAAGCTACCTGCATTTTTGGCATTGCTGCACAAGATGTCGTGCAATTTTTGATTGTGCAGGTAAGCAAAAAATACTGTACATGCCCTTGCGATGATAAAAGAGAAGCTTAATGGTCTGAAAGAGGAAAGTCGAATCAACATCCCAAAATAAATTGTTAGATGATGATTTGATAATAGGCTGAAAATATAGAGGTTTTATGGCTTCAAGACTTGGTGCAGTCTTTGCCCGATAAATTTGGAAAAGACCTTCTGACCATGGCAGAAGAGTCCGAGAAGAAACGGCGTTACCTGGAAAACATGTTCTATATCTGGAAGCTAGTTGGAGCAGTAGAGTAGAAATTTGGAAACCAAGATGGCAAGAATCGAATTAACAATTAAAACATATGATAAGTCTGGCAAATTATTCAGAGTATGATGCTATAGCCTTAAGCCAGGAGGATCTGGTGGCTCCTCAACCACGCTTCTTGTGACCTACATTATTTGTGGTTGCCGAATCTGTTGGGCGCCATCACAAAAATTTCACATTTCTCAGGAGGCTTTTATAGCCTCCACCATAGTATGGAGGTTATATTAAGTTTGTCATTCCGTTTGTAACACCTCGAAATATACATTATAGACCCCACAAAGTATATAAATTCTAGATCAGCATAAAACTCTATGTCGATTTAGCGATGTCTGTCCGTATGTCGAAATTACTCTAGCTTTCGAACGAAATGAAGTAGGTTGATAAAATCTTACTTAAATGTATATTATGTCTGCAGGACTTTTGGTATTGAATATGGGCCAAGTAGGTCCATGTTTTGGTATAGCCCCCATATAATGGTACTTCCCTATTTTCGGCATTTTGGTGATTTAAGCTACATTATTCACCGGAATTGCTTCACATTTGGTATTTAAAGTTCGTAATGGATACTACAGCCTATGGCAGAAAATTGTTTGTACAGGTCCACGTCTTTATATAGCCCCCATATAAAGGTAATTCCCGATATTCGGTGCTTTGTTGATTTTATCGACATTATTCACCGGAATTGTTTCAAATTTGGCAACAGAAGTTCGTTATGGGTACTACGGCCTATGACAGAAAATTGTCTGTGTAGAACCCCTGTTTGGTATAGACCCCATATAAAGGTAACTCCCGATATTCGGTGCTTTGTTGATTTTAGCGACATTATTCACCGGAAATGTATCAAATTTTGCAACCGAAGTTCGTTATGGGTACTACGGCCTATGACAGAAAATTGTCTGTGTAGACCCCCGTTTTGGTATAGACCCCATATAATGTCACCTCCCTACATTCGGTATTTTAATAATTTTAGCAATACTATTCACCGGAATCGTTTCAAATTTGGTATTTGAAGTTCGTAATGGATACTACAGCCTATGACCGAAAATTGGCACCTTCTTATATTCGGTATTTTAATGACTTTACCTACATTATTCAGCGAATGTTTTTTTTCAAATTTCGCATTTAAATATTGTAGTGGCTTATGACAAAAGTTGCCTATGCAGGTCCACGTCGTCGTATAGACCTTAAAGTATGCCGGCTACATTCGGTATTTTTAAGATTTT